CTAAAGACAGATATGTACATTTGTCCCTCTTAAGATACTATCCTACTTATTTCTATACATATATGTCTGTATACATACATACATATGTACAGATGGATAGATAGATTTTGTCCAACACAGCCACTTTTTTGTCCCCAGAGATGTTCAGGGTTTTGTGAGGAATGAAAAAACAAATTTTACAAGGGACTGGAAGCAATTTGTTATTTGAATACTAAAGTGTTTGTGCATGCAGAAATGACAAGGAACAATGAAAAACAGAGTCAGCTGGATTTCCATGAATACTCTTGCTTTTCTGTGTGTGGAGGGAGCAACCCTGCACAGCAGTTACAAACAGCCTTGATTCAGTATTTACATGTGAAGACACAGGCAATCTTCTTGACAATGTAAGGTCTAAGAGGGGTCACTGTACATGTTGACACCCAGGCCATGGGGGCGAGAAACAGCAGTCTGACCCAGGAAGGGACTGACCACCAGCATGTGGAACAACGTTAAGTCCACTCCATCCCACAGCAAGGGCAACTTTGAGAGAGACAAAGCAGAATCCTTGCAAAAAAACCACATCATTTCAGCTGACTGCAGCATATACGTCACACATACTCTTAATAATAATTTTAAAAAAACAAACAAACCCTCATGCATTTTCTTGTGAGCTTTACCAATGAAGCAGGAAAGACAGCAGTATACGTTATTAATTTGTGACTGAAGTCCTGCACTCAGGGTAATTCAATTTCGACCTAGTAAACCCACCTGTGAAAGCAGATAAGATTGGAACTCCAGAAGCATTCCACCTTGAAAGAAGAAATCTGATAGAGAAAAGTGCTCCAGGGTTGTTTAAAGTTTATCTACTGGCAGAAAAGCCTAAGGGAAAAGAGTTGAGAATCAGCTACAGGGAGAGGGCAGCAGAAGAAAGGGAAGACAAGAAGGCTGAAATGCACTGTACCTTTTCTGCTGGAGTAAGTAGATTTCATCCAGATGTTTATCCCAGGATTTTTTGCCTTGCAACTTCTGACTTAGTCCATTCCACATCCGGAAATAGAAGGGCTTGCTATCCCCAAATAAAGGTACACCCATAGCACGTCCCTTTTTCTCTCTTGCCTAGCTGCCTGAAAGCCAGCAATCCCCACTTTGAAAAAAGTCAGGGAAGGCTCACTACAGGTCACCACTCCTCCGCCCCCAGTCTGTTACTACCAAAGGAGACTGTCCGTCAGCTGCATCAGCTGATCAAAGTACATGTAAAAACACAAAATAAAATCACTTGTCTCTAGCAGACCATACCTTGAGCCTCATCAAGTATTTAGTTTTCAAAATAGCCCAACCCAAAGGTGTGTCTGATTTAGAAGTAGCTCGCCAGCAGCCTTACCCCTCACAAAGACCCTATACAGCACTGAAGAATTCATACAGCATCAATGTCCTAGGCTTCTAGTATTTCATTTCTGAAGTCTAGAATTTAGAAATAATTATCCTCCTTATGTATCTCTGAATTCCTCTGGAAAACAACATCTAAGCAATTTTGAAATAGACAGCCGAACATGTCAGGCGAAACACCTTTTAGGTGAGTGAACATGTGGGAACCTGCCCTAAAAGACACTGTGCTCTGGGAAGGTAGTACAGAGGAGGACACACCTCCCACTCCAACCATCTGCAAATCCCATTAAAGAAATTATCATTATAGACTCCACCTTCTCGGAGTCAAACAAAGTCACTTTACTTCACAAGTTGGAAGAAGAGTTTATGTAGATTAATTGTAAACTTTGTATATTTGATTTTCCTTTAATGTTCTACAATCTCTCACTGCTTCTTCACATTTCTTCCAGAAAAGCTTATTTAGGAAAGGGATGAAAATTTCTGTTTAACAAAAACTAGTTTTTGATATAGAAAAACATCATCAGGGTTGGGGGGGTGTCTGCAAAGCAGAAGACAAAATATCAAAAGGAAGAGAGGAGACATCCTTCTTCTTGTGAAGAAGCTGAAAGCTAAATGGGAGAAAGAAAGAAAAGACAAAAAAAAAAAAAAAACCAACCAAAAAAAACCCCACAAACCTCCAAGACTCATTTTGCTCTTCTCAAAACCTGATGAATGCATTCTTGTCCAACTTGTAACTTCCCTAAAAGCTTGTCCTACTGTCCTTGCATCTTGAATCAACAGAAATGTCCCTTCATTCTTATTCTTGCTGTAGTGGAAAAGGATTCTGTTCAGGGTGCCTGCACTTACGCAGAATCAGTAGGTAAGGGAGAAAAGTGTGTAAAGCAATAGGGCTGAGTCATCTCTTTGAAACTCCTGGTTTAGAGGTAACTCCACTCAAAGTTGAGAAAGATATTTAGACACTGAAGTGTTAAGTGACTATGATAGACAAACACAATCTCTATTTTCCTGGGCTGTTCTCCCAAGCAGAGAATACTTTCTACTGTCTCTCCAAGGAGTAAAAGCCCTAGAAGACTGGTATCAGCAGGACAAGCAAGCAGTGACACATTCCTCCCTCTTCTGGGCAGCAGTGCTACTGCCATCCAGACAGCAGCTCTAAGGTGCAAGAAGTGAATAACGGTCAGACAGAAAGTTGAGAGAGAGTTGTCAGCTAGCCATGAAGGCAACAGCTGCAGCAGCCAGGGCAGTTCAAACAACTGTAAACCAGTATCTCAGGTGGACTCCCTGCATTATCATGGGGGGCTCATTATAGCTCTCATTATAGCTTCAGATTGCAGTAAATCTGACTCAGTAGTTTTCCTTTACCCACTTGTATGGATATAAAGTCTTAATACTGCAAAAGAGTGTTTTCTTTTAATTCATGATACAGGTCATTTTCAAAGGTAATAGACTACAGAGATGAAAGATGGATGAAATATGTAAGAATATTGTATGGACCAAAGTCTCTTTAGCAGATCATGGCCATACCTCTTAAGCACTGCTGGTCTTTCAGTCTAGCAGGAGGCTGTAAACAATTTTTCAAAAACTAAGGTCCTGATAAAGCCTAGTAGTTGAGGGATGGATTGTAAGTCTGTACAGTTTTGGTGTATGTGGTTTCTCACATACATGGTATCTACTTTTAGCTCTTTATATCCCTTTCCACAGCTCCTGAATCATACAGTGATTCTGGCTCCTAGCCCTCAATCTCAAGGCCTGCCTTTAGCTCCTGACATTATTCTAGCTCTGCCTGTTCCTTGTTGCAGGCTTCTACTGCAAATGGGGTCTTTATCCTGACTGCCAGTGATGCCCTTTCCTGGTGTGTGTCTTGACTTCTCTTGTTTCTGAGTTGGGCTGATTCTGACTGACCTGATTCCTGGAATCTCTTGATTCCAGCTTGGCCCTAACAAATATGATAGACGATCTCCTCACACGCTGTTTCCCTCCTATGTCCCTAGGCCATGAGTAACAATGTAAGCATGAAGCATGACCTGGCCAAATGTGTTCCTCACACCACAATGTCTAACAACACAAAATTAGGAGCAGACTAGCAATGATAGGATGATGTTAGTACCCCATGGTTCTAGTGGATCTATCAATATTGCATATGGCACAGTTAGGATTTGCTGCCCTTTGTAGAGCTATAAGAAACTGTGTAAGTAAGCCAATATGTGGAAATACTTCAGCAACAACCAAGGAATTCCTATTTTCACATACCTGCTACAAATACAAGGAACAAGAAAGCCATTTTTGCCACTGGGGTTTGTGATTTTTCCAGAGATGCTACTCTACACTTTTTTATAGTGCATTGCATTTCTTTTAGATCAGCCTAGATTTAAAAAAAAAAATATATGTATAGCATAAATCTGAATAGCTGAGTATGAATGAACTGACTTTTGGTGACCTTGAAACTTAAGTTAGCCTTTTCCAGCAACATGTCTGAAAAGGAAAAATTATTACAGAAAAATTATAGAAAAGAACTACAGGAAAATTTTCTACGTAGTCTCCAGTTTTCTCTTCTTTCCAGTCACCTCTTCAGTTCCTTCCTTCTTTCAAACATAAATCAAAATGGCCATTACCTGGCCTATTATAGAAGTAATTTCAGTGCTAATGTAGAGACAGACATAATTTGCACAGTACATGGCATGGATTCCTTTCTTTCTGAATGGCCCTGACCCTTACATTCCATGTTCTCACAAAACTGTTAACCTTCCTAGAAATGTTGAGTGCTGAAGGTATGTAGGATCGAATCCAATGTGCTTAGCTGGTGACAAATCAAGATGGGACTGCATGTTCTTTTTCACTCTTTCTCTATTTTTCTCTTACAGTTTCTTTAGACGGGGGGAAAATGCAAGAGCTGCATGATATTTTAAAGTTACTACAAAGATATAAGTGTAATTCTAGTCTTTCACAAAATCCATGAGAATGTGAACTGTGATTAGCAGGAAAGAGAGAAGATAAAGGGCATTGTAAAAGTAAGGAAGCCTGTTGAACCTAAAGGAGAAACAATATAAGCTGGACATGGTAGAAGTCCCCCATTTTTATCTTCTGAAAAGATTTTAAAGGTTTCTGTTAAAAAAATACGTAATGAATGGTATCAGGAAAACGTACACAAAGTGGCTTTTGAAGAGAAAGGAAAGAAAGGGAAGTCAACTTATTCATTATGATTAATTTAAATTCTCTTCTACATTTGCCTTCCAAATTTGTCCCCCAAATCCATGTTAAGCATCTGGTAGACAAATAAAGTAGTATAACCAGATGGGTAACACATCTTCAGAGCACTGTACAGCCATTGAGTAGCCAAGTTGTCTTGGCTAGCCTATAGCCAACCCAAGTTGTCTATATCAGAGATAAGTATTGCCCCAACCTGCCTGGACAAATTTCAGCACAAAGATTTGCCTGTTTTGCTGTCTTAGGAACAGCATCAGAGCCACAGGCTGCCAGGCCATTTCAGAAGCTCTTATCCTTCCACTGCATATTTCTCCTTGTCTTGTTCCATATATTCTTTCTGAATCACATATATGTTCAAACCTTAAAAATAAAATTACATTTTCTATTTTTTGCCCCAATTCACAAAAATCTTTCACTTCACCTCTCATAAAAATTTGCTCTTAAAAAAATCCCACTTCGGAAATCACAAAAGAAATTCTGTCATTTCAGCAATGGCAAAAACAAGGTGCATGGACTCCATACCCAAGTTTAGGCTACCATCTTAAGAGCAAGAATGGAAGTGCAGCCTACAACCAGACTTCAGTCTTTCAACATCGCCCCTGTACATTTCTGGTTGTACTTCAATTCTTTGTCTGAAATAACAGCATCTAATAAAAGCTCCAAAGATGTGAGTTGTGAGAGACAAGAATGAGAGAAGCAGAAGTACAGGAAAAAGCAACGAAAAATAACAGTTTCTGCGTACGGACAGAACACAGAACAGAAAGTCAAGAACTCGCTAAGTCAGCAATAAGCAGTGATGTAGTTTCTCCCTGTGTATAATGGATAATCTTCCATCTGAGAAGGTTGTAATAATGCCAACGAGTGCTTGATGTATTACAGATATGTTAGGGAATCCTGTTGGACTGTGACATTTCCAGTCATTCAAGTTATAGTATCTTATTTGTGTAGCATAGGAAAACAAAGTTGTGGATGACTGTATACAAATACACAGTATTAGATACAGTTTCATATCACACAACAGAGTGGTGATATGTATCAAAAAACAAAACCAAGTAACAGAGGAAAATAACTAGATATTCCAGAAGCAGCATACTAGTAGTATTATCTCCACCAGCCTTGAGAAACTCTTATCTTCACAAGATCCAGAGGAGGGCCACAAAGATGATCAGAGGGTTGGAACGCCTCTCTTATGAAGACAGGCTGAGAGTTGGGGTTGTTCAGCCTGGGGAAGAGAAGGCTCCAGGAAGACCTTATAGCAGCCTTCCAGTACCTGAAGGGGGCCTACAAGAAAGCTGGAGAGGGACTTTTGACAAGGGAATGTAGTGGTAGGACAAGGGGTAATGGCTTTAAACTGAAAGAGGGTGGATTTAGATTAGATATAAGGAAGAAATTCTTCACTATGAGGGTGATGAGGCACTGGAACAGGTTGCCCAGGAAGTTGTGGATGCCGCCTCCCTGGAGTGGTCAAGGGCAGGTTGGATGGGGCTTTGAGCAACCTAGTC